CTAGGGTGCCAGTGCTGCATGTGGAGGATTAGCCTAGTGAGCTGCCAGGCTGGCCCTGGTTTTTTTTTTTTTTTAGACTTTACTTATTTATTTGAAAGTCAGAGTTAGAGAGAAAGAGAGAGAAGGAGCAGAGAGACAGAGAGGTCTTCCATCCTCTGGTTCACTCCCCAGTTGGCCACAATGGCCAGAGCTGTGCCAATCTGAAGCCAGGAGCCAGAAGCATCTTCTGGGTCTCCCACACGGGTGCAGAGGTCCAAGGAATTGAGCCATCCTCTACTGCTTTCCCAGGCCATAGCAGAGAGCTGGATCGGAAGTGGAACAGCTGGGACTCAAACTGGCGTCCATATGGGATGCTGGCACTGCAGGCAACAGCTTTACCTTCTATGCAACAGCACCGGCCCACGGGTGCTAAACTGTAATAGGAGTTCTATGGTATCTCATAGTAGGTGTAACTTGCGCTTCTCAGAGACTGATTAATAGTATATGGTATCTTGGGCTTATTTTCCATCCATGTATAGCCCCAGGTGACATATTTATTCAAATATTTTTTCCAATTAAAATAGACTGTCTTGTCATTGAGTTTTGAATAGTCTCTCAACCTTTTGTAGATAAAATATATTTTATCTTTATATCTACCTGTATCTATTTATCTGGGGGTAGGTTGCAAGGATTTTCTACACTCCATGGTAAAACTTTTTATTCTCATTACAATGTTTTGAAAAGGAGAAGTATTTAATTTTGATAAAGCACAATTGATAAGCTTATTATTTTTAATTTATTATACTTTCCATATTATATCTAAGGGGGTTTTCATAACTCAGTATCACAAAGTTTTCCCCTTTGTTTTATAGTTTTATAGTTATGCTTATCTATGATACATTTGAGCCTTTATTCTGTGATAAGTGGTATGGTTCAAAATGAATTATTTTGCCTGCAGATGTTCAGCTGTTCTAGCAAAATCTGTTGGGAAAAACTATACTTCCTCCCTTGAATTGCTTTTTGCACCTTTGTCAAAAGTTAATTCCATATTTGTGTATAGCTTAGTTTCTAAGTCCTCTATTCTGTCATACTGATTTTTCTATCTCTACACAACTAAGACACCATTAACTTACTGAAATAAGTTAATGTTAGCCTAGCATATTTGTTCTTTTTCAAAGATGTTTTGGCTAATATAAGTCCTGCTTTTGCATTTCCATAGTAATTTTAGAATGAATTTGATAATTTCTTTAAATAAAAATCTGATGGAATTTTGATTGGTATTATATTGATCTCCAAATTTAGATAGAATTTTCATCCTAACATTTTGATCAATAAACAAGAGTATGTCTCTCATTTATTTAGATTTTAATTCATTTCAACAAAATTTTTAGATTTTAGTCTTTTACATATTTTAGCAAACATAACTTACAATATTTTATGTATTTTTTCTTAAATTATTTCATTTAAAACATTTTTGATTAAGATATAATACTTGTACATTTTTATGGGACATAGTTAAGAATTTTATATTTTGAATGGTGTAATAAATTAGATGAATTTCTTAAATTCAATTTCTTTTTGTCTCTTCCAGTGTACAACATGCCATAAATTTTACACATCGATGTTATGTCTTACAACATCGCAAACATCAGTTCTTATTTCTAGTAGCTTTTTTGGGGGATTTCATTGATTCTATTCCTAGATGGCCATGTCATTTGCAAATAAAGAAAGTTTTACATGATCTTTCTCAGTATGAACATTTTTTTAAAAGATTTATTTATTTATTTGAAAGTCAGAGTTATACAGAAAGAGGAGAAGCAGAGAGAGAGAGAGAGAGAGAGAGAGAGAAGGGTCTTCCATCTGATGGTTCACTCCCCAATTGGCCACAATGGCCGGAGCTGCGAAGATCCTAAGCCAGGAGCCAGGAGCTTCTTCTGGGTCTCCCATGAGGCTGCAGGGGCCCAAGGACTTGGGCCATCCTCAACTACTTTCCCAGGCCACAGCAGAGAGTAGAGCAGCTGGGTCTTGAAACGGCACCCATATGGGGTGCTGACACTGCAGGTCAGGGCATTAACCCGCTGCACCACAGCACCAGCCCCAGTATGAACATCTTTAACTTTTATTTTGTCCTATTGCCTTGGTCAGTTTTCCCAGTACAAAGTTGAATTTAAGTGGTATGAATAGATATCTTTGTATTGTTCTGATCTTAGGGAGAAGGCATTTAATAATTTACAGTTAAGCATGCTGTTCGGTGTAGGTTTTTCTTTTTATTTTTTTTAGGTGGAGAAAGTTTATTAATTCTTAATTTGCTGGAAGTTGTAAGTCTCCTTTGCCATCAATGCATTTACTTGCATCACTCTTCATTTTTTTATTTAAATTGTTGCATAATTTGTTTAAAATATATTTTCCCTTATTTGGATGGAAATCAATATTCCTTGCCACCATTGTAAGGTAACTGTTAGGGGTTTAATAGGACTTGTCTCCCCAGAATTTATGCATGATATTTAAACTCTGGTATCTTAATGTCAATGGCTACTGGATTAAGGGGAACACCATGGCATTGACAGGTGGGTGTGGTGGGAGGTGTTTAAGTCATTGGGGATGTGCCCTTACTAGAGAGTGGTTCTCTCCAGAGGGTTATTTTAATTCAAGTTCTGTCTAGCTGCTCTCTAACCCTGACTCACCATGTGGTCATCCCTCCACCTCTGCCACAACCAGCCTCCATATATGCCAGATTTGGGGGCCACCAGATTCTAATCTATGACTTCCAAACTAGAAGTTGAAATAAATAAACCTTTATTTTATCATGATGCTCCTACTGGGTATTTTGATTAAAATAACAAAAAGTGGACTAGTAACATTAATAATCAAATAAAACCAGAAAAATAGACACTTTACTTGCGGAGGCCCCCCTTTTTTTTGTTGTTAAAAGCTGTGATTACTAAGATGGGAAAACTTTAAAGATGTAATTGAATCAAGCAGACCATTTGTTTTTATATAACAAGGAGATTTTAAAACAGAGAGAGGGAAATTGCTTTCAGAATGATCCATTTTGCACCAAAAATTCACTTCAAAAATTCAATGTGGATTCCACAGCCATGGAATTACTAGATTTTAGACAGGTGTGGCTTGGGCAAAGACAAAGATGTGTGAAAAAGTTCAGGTATTATAGGACCCACAGATGCTACGACTATCTAGACTGGTAATTTTAAACCTTGTTATAAATAAATATCACCTAATTATCACCTTGAATTTAAGTCTCAGACCAAAAGAATCAGAATGTTTAGTTGGATTGGAGTAGTTTTTCTTTAAAAGTTTCTTAGAGAGTTCCAAGGCTTAAGATGTTTTGTTGGATGATGGTTGTGTTAGTCTGTTTTTCATTACTATAACACAATACATGAGGCTGTATACTTATAAAGAAAAGAGGTTTTAGTTCACAGTGTAGGAAACTTAAAGTCCCAGTTGGGTGGCATAGGCTATGGTAAGAAGCTCCTTGGATGAGTCTCATCATAGAAGGAGTTAGGAGCCTAGGAAAAGGAGAGATACGGGTGTGGGAAAGGGCCAGTGTTGCTCAGGTCTTAATGGTCCTATTGCTTCTTAACACAGGCACACAGAGGAGTAAGCTTCTAATGCCTGAACCTTTGGGGGGACATCAAACTATATCCAAATAAGTGCAGTGATGGTGGTGGTTGTGGTCATGGTGTGGCCTGCACAAGGAAGCAGCAGCCCAGATTCAGGGGTAATGTCTGCCCTGGTTGCGAATCGGTGAAATGGTAAAACCACCATGGCTTGCCATCTTAGAGCTAGAATATGGATTTCCTATCAAGGCAGTTGAATACCATCTTGAAGGGCTAACAGAATGCTCACTCTCCCTTTCAGAAAGAACAAGCCTTCAGGAATTTTCTGCCTCAGTTGTTCTTTGGTTTAAAAGCACTATGATCTTTCTGTAGAATTAAAGATGCTGAATGTATATTTCAAGAATGCATCTTCTGATAGCATATTTAAGAGCTAATCAAAGTGACTCCCAAATACTTTATTATAGAAATGTGAATAACTTCTCAAACACCCTCGACACGATTGCTGGCAATGAATACATCCAGAGGAGAGTCTCTAATGCCTGCTTTCATCAGCTATATTTCAAAAACATCATAAACAAACAATAGGAATTTGCATTCATAAATACATAGAAAACATGAGAAGAAGCTGAGTATCGATCAGTTCCCTTCATTATCTATCCATTTTGACACCATACTAAGATCCATTTAAACCAAGGCATATTTCTGGTGGTAACCCATTGGCTGCCCCTCAGGTTTTGCCTTATTAATGCTGCCCCCACGAAGATTCCATCTGGGAACAGAAAGAAAAGGGGGCACTCAAAATCTAAATGTTGCAAGCTGGCTTAGGAGAAGTATGGACCTGGAAAAGAAGTCCAGTCTTGCTTAAAGAACGGTAGTAAGAACCAACAGGTGTGCCAGCTTTGTGGCTTGGTGGTAAAGCTCTGTTGGTATCCCACAAGGGCGCTCCTTTGAGCTGCTCCACTTCCTATCCAGCTCCCTGCTAACGCGCCTGGGACCAGCGGCCGAAGATGGCCCAAGTCCTTGGAACGCATCAGCCCCTTCCGTTGAGTCCATTTGAGGAGTGAACCAGCCTGTGGAAGATCCCTCTCCCTCTCCCTGTAAACTCTCTCTTTCAAATAAATAAATCAATCTCAAAAAAAAAAAAAAAAAGATGAGCGAGAAGGTGCGAAGACGATATTTTTCATAAAGACTATATGTCGAGGAACCCGCGGGGAAGCAAGTGGGAGAGCAAGCTTTCTGCAGAGGGGCATTCACAGCCCATCCCTAGGATTTGTGCTGTTTCCCACCGTCCCTCCTCCCCAAGGTCCTGGTTCTCCGCCCCTGGCCCTCCCGGGACTCAGTCCTTGGCCAGGAGGCCGAGTGGGCGGGGCAGCCACTCCAGCGTCACCTGAGCAGGATCAGAAGTCGCTCAGAGAGCCTGGGCACTAAGTTAGTGTCCTGGGACACTAAGAGGACTATTGGGCAGTTGGGTGTCTTCCCTTCTCCAGCTCTGGGGCGCGATCGTCTGCAACTCTGGTGTACAAACTTTTGTCCACGCGTGTGTGGGTGGCAGAGCAAGCAGGACTGTGGCCGGTTCTCCCGCCTCGGCTCCACTACCGCATCCTGGCTGAGCCAGCTGTGGACAGCACACTTTCCAGTTGCCACCCATCGCCAGAAACTTCTCACGAATGGAGCAGTCGCAGTGTGGCAGCAGAGACCGCAGCGCTAGCGGCCGAGCCCATCTGATTCCAGGGCTGGTAGGGGGCCCTGCGCCCCCGGCCGCTGCTTTGCCCGTGCCCTCGGGGATCCCAGTTCCTCCGGCTTTCCTGCGGCCGCCCAGCCTCTTTTTGCGAGCAGCCGCCGCCGCTGCTGCCGCCGCGGCTGCCGCCACCAAGGGAAACAGTGGCTGCCCGCCGCCCGCTCCGGGGCTGGAGAGAGCGGTGGGCGCGGCGGGCTGCGGCTACCCGCGGACGCCCAAGTGCGCGCGTTGTCGCAACCACGGCGTGGTGTCCGCGCTCAAGGGCCATAAGCGCTTCTGCCGCTGGCGGGACTGCGCGTGTGCCAAGTGCACCCTGATCGCGGAGCGCCAGCGCGTCATGGCCGCCCAGGTGGCGCTGCGCAGGCAGCAGGCGCAGGAGGAGAGCGAGGCCCGGGGGCTGCAGAGGCTCCTGTATTCTGGCCCCGAGGGGCCCAGGGATCAGGCCTCGGGAGGCAGCTGCAGAACCGAGAAAGCCCAGGCTGCTGGCTGCCCCGCGCTGGGACTGGGTGTCTTGAGACCGGCCAGTGGTCTGGCAACCCCCGCTTTCGAGGTTTTCCAGCAAGATTGTCCGGAGGATAAACAAGGTGGGTTGAAGTTTCGTTTGCTCTTTGCACAAGAACCTGATTGCTCAAGAGAAAAACTCTTTGAAACAAGCAGCAGTACCTCGCCTAGAGGCAAAAGAAAGTTAACAGAAGCACCAAATTTCAAGAAACTGCTCCCTAGTAAGGAGCCTAAGGAGGGTGTTGGAGCCCCATCACTGCATTTGAAGGGGCTTGCTGTTTGCTGCCTTGGGGATAGGATAAGGATAGGATAAGGAAGGGAATGGTGAATCCCGGTTGATCACAGGTAAGCAAGTCCCTAGAAAGCAATTGTTTGCCTGCAGGCTGCTTTAATTTTATGTGAGCAGCAGAACAGAAAGTTGAGTGTGAGAGCTTGTTTTGAGCTAGCTTTGTACTTTATTTTCAGCATAAAACCAGAATGAATTGCCTTCTGATCTTGCATGGAAAACTCACTGGTGGTTCGTAGTACGGTTTTTTAACTTTGGGACAAATCCTTGGCGCGAGCTAGGAGTGGAGAAGAGACTTGGAATCTACCATACCTTCTCTCCCTCTCTCTCTCCATTCAATCTTTAGCTTCCCCCTACACTTCCCCAACTGTTTGCCAGCTTCCAAAAGTATACACAGATCTAATTGATCTTTCATTTCTTACCATAGGAAAGAATTCAGGTTTGATTTGCAAAACTTTGGTAAGAATTTCAGCGTTTAATATTCGAGATGTTTATCCAAGGAGTTTTATTTTTTTCCTCCCGTTTGCCAACTACAATAAAATGTGATTTACATTAATCTCCTGTATTAGTAAATACACATTTTTTTTTACTAAGACTATCCCAAATTAGTATTTCCTGCTAATGTAAATCCCATTGTATTTTAGTGAATTTCACAACCTTCCAAAAGGTCTATGAGCAGTGAAAATTTTATTTCATTGTTTTTGTTTAAGTTCAAGACAGGTTGTATCATATGAAATTGCAATTAATGATACACATAATTAATTGGATTATGAAAATTGGAGACCTTAGATCACATAATGTGCCTTTAAAAAAAGACTATTGAAATAGATATATCATTTTTTGCTTGAGTACACCAGCTTTGTGTACAGGTAATAGTTTATTTCTGTGGATAAAATAGATTTTTAACATTTTTCTTGAGGACTGGAGGTTAAAGTTGTTAAATATAACTTCTATTAAAAAGAAGTAAAAGACTTCCTTAAACTAAACTGACAGTGAGATCCAGCCGATGACATTGATTTAGGTGATTTTGGGGAGAAGGCAAAGTGTTTGGCTTAATAGGGCTATTTTATTTCATTTTATATTTTGTCTCAGAGATCCCCTACCTCTAGAAAGCCAGCCAATTTTTGAAAGGCTACTTCTATGGCTTTCTAAATTGTCTGACTCAACTGTAGTAAGGTATTGTGGGTAATTTACTCATTCATTAGACAAAGACCAGTGATTCAGAAGTGAATAAGATTTCCTAAACAAAAGAACCTTCTACTGAAAAATGGAAGACTATACATATCAAAAACTACAATACAAGGCATTATATCAATGGTAAATATAATAGAAGGAAATCAAGTTATAGAATATAAGTGGCCAGAGAGATATTGTAAATAACACCCTCGTCTTTTAAAGAAATGTCCATTTCTAAATAGCCTTATGCAATTGTATTTCATTACATTTATTGTACTATGAGTCAACATAATAAATTATTCTATGCATACATTAACATAGAGAAGAAACCTTGACCCTGACCATGATCAGAGGGGCATAGGTAGTAAATCAGAAGTGGAATGGAAGACAAATGCCATCTAATCCCACTTGACAGAACTTAGAAGTTCTTTTGTATTATTTAATGTTGAAAAAATTCTAGTCGTTTGTAGTTTTGAAGTAGCAACATCTTTGGTTTGATTATATATTTGAGATGGTTAAAGCATTTTGACCCCCTCAATGCTAAGTTGTACACACTTAACTGTAATTTTTTTTTTTTTTAATGGGATGTTGGAGTTGCAGGCTGCAGCTTAGATCACTGTGGCACAACCCAGGCCCTGATTTGATTTTTTTTTTAACTTTTTTTTTATTTAGTAAATATAAATTTCCAAAGTACAGTTTACGGATTACAATGGCTTCCCACCTCCCTCCCCCATAATTTCCCTCCCACTTTCATTTTTAAATAAGCTACAGATATTCTTTAGAATTTAGAAAAGTAGAGAAAACACGAGAATATTGCAAATCACATTTAACAAATCACTGCTTTAGGCAATATCTGTTATATTTATAAACTTCATAGACAAAGCTGGACAGAAATACTCTGTATATCTCACTTGACAGTTCATTGTTTCAGAGATGAATACATAAGGCAAAGGGAAATGTAAACCAAACTAAAAGTGACTTAGCAAATATGTATGTGCGTGTGCATTTTTGGGGGGGTTATCCTGGGAAAAAGTATTAAAATGTTTTATTAATATTTTTAGCATATTAGGATAAAAATCAGATTTTTGTATAAAATATTTTTAGAAAATGATCCTGAATATTGGAGGGAGGTTGTTATTTGCATCAAAAGCCTAATTGGTTGCTTTTAGAAGCCTTACAAATTGCAATATGTAGTTTATAATTTTCTTTTAGAAACAATTTGGTTTTGAATTTTTTTCTTGGAATATCTCAGGTAGTAAAGAAGAAAACATATTTCACAAAGGATTATGCAAAATACTAAGACTATATCATCTCTCACATAAAATGAAATATGCAAGTCTGGTATGGTTTGAGATTGATGCAGTGGTAGTGAAAATTGGCTTAACTTGAAATGAAATGAGCAATTTTGTTTTTCTTTCCATATTATGCAGGTAACTTAATTGGAACCAGAAATGAGAGCAGAAGAAAATCGATTGTTGCAATTTAGCATTAATGATTAAATAGGATATTCATTTTCAAACAGATTATTCTTTTATTTTGATTTCTTATCTAAATCTCACCATTTTTAATTAGGTTCTTTCACATCATGTCACTGTAAAAAAGAGAAAAAAACTTACTTAGGTAGGAAAACTTGGTTGATATTTCAGAAAATGTCCAAATCACTAAAATAAGGCAAACAGCAATACTGGTGTTACATTAATATTTTTGGATAACAATAGACTCTCAGCTTCTGATTCCTAAGTACTTCTGCATTTTTATATTGTATCTTTGTGATCCTGAAATGACATAAGAAATAGGATTTTCCACTATTCTACTTAGCTAATTATGGACTATTTTTTAAACCTGAAGTTTTTAAGAAATCTTAGAATAAAATTTACTAATACATCGTAAGTGACTGAATGATTTTATGCAGTTTTTTTTATTTTTTTTTAGTAGACAGTATAACATCTGGGAAATTTTACCTCTACTTGACATTTTTCTTCTTCCTCAGAACAAAAAGAAAGAAAATGTGATACATGCCAGAGCGGACAAGAACAAGTCTCCAGATCCCATCCACTTTCCCTGGGGTCATCTCCTAAGTCTCCTGGTGTCAAACAAAGCACCAACTCCTCTCTTTCAGAACACTCCAGCAAACCTGACAGCATCCTGTCATGTCACCTTGGGGAGCAATCAGGAGGTGAAGAGAGTCCCAGGTCCTTGTCATCTTCTGATCTGGAGTCAGGAAATGAAAGTGAGTGGGCTAAAGACTTGACTGCTACCAGAGCCAGCCTTACTGCAGTGTCCTCAAGACCAAGAGACCCTCTTGACATCCTTACTAAGATTTTTCCAAGCTACAGACGCAGTTGGCTGGAAGGCATTCTACAGCTCTGCAAAGGAGACGTGGTCCAAGCCATTGAACAGGTCTTAAACGGGAAGGAACACATGGCAGACACTAGGGACCCAGCAGGCACTGGAGAGCTGGAAAATTCAGCCTGTCAGAGGGCTTCCAATTTTAGTCTGGGAGTTGGACTTGGAACTCTAGGTACTAAATCAGCTTTCTCTCCTCTTCAAACCACTTCTACTTCTTATGGATGTGATTCGGATCTCCACCGCTTAAATCCTAGATTAGGCATCAGTCCACTACGGCTGGCATACTCTTCTCCAGGAAGAAGGTTGTCTGGTTTTATGCCACCCTACCTGACACCTGGCTTAGTACCAGCGTTACCTTTTCGGCCATCTTTGGATTATGGCTTTTCAGGGGTGATTAGGGATTCCTCCTACCTTCCCCGTAAAGACTCAATAACTGGTGGTAGACTCTACTCCCGATCGCATCAGGAAAATCTTTAATGTATTGCTATTTCTCTCATTCTGGAGTATTTCCAGAAGAATGCAATACACACACATATACCTGTATTGATGTACTACAATATGTGTGTGAATGAATTATCAAGCCTTAAAAATGTTCTTTTTTTCCTCATTTGTAAGCAAATGGACTTTAGGTCTGAAGACTGCACATTTATTATGAGAAAGAAACATTTGAACATTATAAGTGCCTTGAATAAAGCTATTTCAGTAAATATTTTTACTTTAATAAATTTTCCTCCTAAGTTATCATTTGTAAAATTTCTGTCTTAAAAATTGTACTTGCTTTTGTTTTATTTAAACATGAGCTTGGTAGTTGTGAAATAGATTTTTGTGTCAAGCAATGTAGCATAATATAAATTGAATAAAGAGCAAGAACTGAAAAATTAAGGTAATCCTAAGTAATTATTATGTTAAAATCTTCTATTCCTAGTTCACAGGAGAGAGAAAAGTTATTAAAGTACTTAAAAAATATTTGCAGGTAAATGATTAGTAGCAAGTAAAATTTTTGCAAAATATGAAGTTTTTGCTTTTTCTAGATTTTTTTTAAACTCTTACGTATCATTTGTGAAAATAAATGACTCTGAGAAAAAAATTCTTTAAAATTAACATTGTGGGTTACACTAAACTGTATAAAGCCAATTTTAGGAAATGAGACTGCGCCATCTTCTGGCTACTATCACAAATAGCAACTCTAGCAACTCAGTACTGCAGACCATATGAATTAAAAAAACATTGTTTCCAAATAGTATAAGCTACCCAGTTTTTGAAATAATCATTTGAATCATGCTACAGGCACATTTTCATATTACAATGTGTGCGCCTACCCTGGATGAGGCTCAATTTTTGTACATTTCCCTTTTCATATGTTTGGGACAAGAATGCTGCAGTCATTCTCAAAGGGAAAGGGAAAAGTAATTTTATGCAGAAATCTAAAATGGCTACTCAAGTAAATATTGATTTGTTCTAATAGACAATGATTAATGAGTTGAGAGATAAAAATTTTCAAAAGGGAAATTATCATTAAAATTTAGAGATATTCTTGAGATTTGAAAATTACTTTTTGTTCTCCATCTAGAACATGTGAAACTTGTTTCATTCAGTGGAAAGTCCCAGAGGAAACTTCTTACACAACACCCATGAAGTTTTCCTCATATGTCATCATTTTAAAAGGACAATGGCTTCATTGTTACTATTAGAAATAAATGGAGGGGCCTGTGCTCTGGCATAGGGGGTAAAGCCACCCCCTGCAGTGCCGGCATCCCATAGAGGCACTGGTTCAAGTCTTGGCTGTTTCATTTCCCATCCAGCTCTCTGTTATAGCCTGGGAAAGCAGTGGAAGATGGCCTAAGTCCTTGGGCCCCTGTACCCACTTGGGAGACATGGATGAAGCTCCTGGCTCCTGGCTCCTGGCTTTGGATCGGCCCAGCTCTAGCCCTTGTGGCCATTTGGGGAGTGAACCAGTGGATGGAAGACCTCTATCTCTCTGTGCCTCTGCCTCTCTGTAACTCTGCCTTTCAAATAAATAAATAAATATTTATTGGCCGCAATGTCTGGAGCTGTGCTGATCTGAAGCCAGGAGCCAGGACCCACCGCGGGGTCTCCCACAAGGACTTCTACTGCTTTCCCAGGCCACAACAGAGAGCTGGATTTGAAGTGGAGCAAGCTGGGACTTGAAAAGGATCCCATATACGATGCTGGCACTGCAGGTGGCGGCCTTATTTGCTTTGACACAGCACTGGCCCCATAAATAAATCTTAAAAAAAGAGAAAGTGGAAACTTAAGCTGTGGTAAAAGGCAGTTGAAGCATTATAGATAATTTCAATGATTTGAGCAGTGGGGTTTACTAAAAATTCTTTTATGTGAACATATGTATGTGTGTGTATACAAATAAGCACATATGCACATTGGGAGTCCTATCAGTTCTTTTATCATGAAGGCTTTTCATGAAGCCAATGAAAATATATTTCTAAACCTTATTTTACCCATGGATATGACTATCATGTTAAATTACTGCAGAGTATCTGATGCTGATTTAGAATGTAATATGTTTAATAGATTATGCATTCATTTTAATGGTGTGAATGTGACAGAAGATCCTGTAAATTTTAATGCACTCAATATTCATACACAGTTTTAGATTTTCAGCCTAAGCCATAGCATATTGCCTGGAAAGTAGTTGATATTCAATTAATATACTCATAAAACTGAGTGGAGAAACCATTTTGGATAATAGGTCTCTCTGAAACTCTGATAAAACCAAAGAATTCTACAAAATAGCTTACAGATACATAGTTTTACTTAAATGTCATGGGGTTTTTACATCTCCTAAATGCTCTTCAAGTTAGAATCCTTGGTGATTTTTTTTCCTATTGCATGAATCCATTTGCTGAGTGCTATTGTTTTGAAAAATATTTGATCCTATAGAGGATGCCAGATGTAAAATCTTGTGCTTCAAAGGAAGCTATGCCAAATAGAGATGTGTCATAAAAATAGAATGATTCCAGAGCTTCTAGAATTTTTATGTGATTTGTAAAATGTTGTGCATGTATCTGAAATACTGAATTGCTTTAGAACTTAAAGGAACATCCATTTTGGCAGTATTTAATTTTTTTAAAGTAGTCTTATAATCTTAAGACTTAAGTTAACTTATATAATACTTTATATATTCTATACCCTTTGTAAAATTTTAGGACTTGACTAATTACAAAATCGGCCATTTGTCCAGCCATTGAATAGTATGTGAGGAAATTGAGGCTTGATCATCCAGCCCAAAAGTTAATAGTATGAGTTATTGGGAGTAGCAATACTTAGTATTTCAATAATTTCAGATGTCAAGGTCTGAGCAAGGATTCCTGTCTGTTTTATTGTTTCACAGCTTTGAACAGTGTCTGATACATAACAGATGTTCAAACAATAGTTTTCTCTGTCTCAATTAAATAAAGTTAAAAAGAAAATGTTAGCTTAAGAATTTGTGCAGCACCTATTACTTAAGCACCAACTTTATGTCATCCACTGTTCTAGATACATGAAAAAAGAGTTGACTGCAACACAGACCTTGCCTCAAGTTTCTCAACTTCTATTTTTGCCACCTGTGCAAAAGCAACCAACCAACTAACACTGATACTGATCGACAATGCTGATATATCAGTTAAGTAATCTGAAATCTTGAATTGTGTATCTATAGGTGCTGCTCAAGGCCAGAACTACTAAGCCACTAATTAGGGGTGAAGAATTTATTTTTATTATTTTTTATTTTTATTTTTATTTTTGACAGGCAGAATTAGACAGTGAGAGATAGAGGACAGAGAGAGAAAGGTCTTCCTTCCGTTGGTTCACTCCCCAAAATGGCCACCACAGGGGTGAAGAATTTTAAAGCCTAGCATATGACAAAAAATTAATCGAGCTTATTATGTATAGCTAAGAGGAAAAGAATACTTTTTTTTTCTTATCGTTAACTTTCTGAGAGTGGAATAGGTGTCTTTTATCATGATGCATTCCTCTACTTGACACTAGTTAGAAAATACCATTCAGAGATCTGATTATGGGGTATTTCATTGATGCTTCAGTGTTAGGACTGAACTATTTTTATAAGCTAATCTAAAACATAGTAAGTATTTATTAAACACATGTGTGAATGTATTTCAATTCTGAGACCATGAAAATGAAAGCATCAATAGAACATGGTGAATTTTTATTTTTCATCAGAACTTTTCTTATAGGATAGCCTGCTGCGAGAAACTTAAGTGATAGTCCTAACACAACTCATGATTTGCAAGGAATTCAGTTTTGTGGAGGCTAGCATGAGGTACTTAGGCAGAGCAAGTAGAGGCAACCTCAAACGGGACATGGATGAGCACTGAAGATAAACTTTAATACATTTCCTACAAAGTAGGCAGCAGTATGTCTTCCTGGAAAGAGCACTTGCTTTGGAGTAAAGGAAACTGAAGACAGACTTAAAGTTGGGCAGGTAATGTTTCTTCTCAATAAAACAAGGTTAATAACATCTAACATGCAAGATTCACAGAGATAAAAGATACACAGAATACAGCAATGCTTATATGCTGATGCTAAATAAATACATCTCACTGCTATGGCTTTGTATTAAGATATTATTCCTGGCAGCTGTAGCCAGAAGACCACACAGCTTGAGTTCCAGACCTCTTGTTTGGTTGGTTGCTCATTTCAAAGGTGGGCCACACTTTCACATATACTTGTGCATGTTATATAGATTCTTGTAAGGGCTATTTGAGGAAGATGAACAACAAAACTGTGTTCATGCCACATTTATCTGTTAGAACTCAGTCAAAAAACAGCATTCCTATAAGTAGGTGTGGAAGTAAGAGGGTTATAGAAATTAGACCTAACACAAAGAAACAGCTGAGAAGTGAATGGAATTGACAGAATGTTTGGAATGATCTGGAATGTCTGGAATGACCAAAGACAGAGTTCACTAATCTATCTGCTTAAAGCTCTGGTGTCAGTGAGCAAGTGGGGACTTATCGAAAATCTCTGAAACCCGCCATGTCCAGTCACTCACATGGTTCCTAGGTGCTGGGAGATGTTCTGAGGGGTGTTTTGGGAATGAAGCTTGTGCCTCTGCATCGCCAAGCTCTGGGGCCTGGAGTGAGCACCCGGATGTGGACCTGTACCATCGAGGGCTGGCAAGGTCAGCAGCAAAGGAAGGAAAATGCTGGATGTGGAGAAAGGAAACTGAGGGCAGCCTAGAAATCACGGGATACCAACCTGTTGATTTCTACATTACTTTTGTCTTTCAAATCATTATAATTCCTTTTTGGGCTCTCATTCTGAATGATACAAGAAAGGGGAATCTGGAAAATATATTTTTCAGTCTTACTCGGAGTATCTTAGCACAGTACAGTACCATGTGCTTTTTGTCAATGTGGCTTTCATATTCACTTAGATTAACCACATTTACTTCCAAATAAGAGTGAAAGCAAAGTCATTCCTTCACCGCAAATCGATGCATCTATCCTCTATACCATGAAAGTCCACTAACATTCTCCCCAAATGAGGACGTATCAAGTCACTTATCCATATTTGGAAGATACTCATTCCTCTTTTAGCTAGTCAAATCCCCCTTTGAATATTTCTGTAACTTTAATCACAAGATACAGCTAGCCACTTTAACTAAATTGTTTGTTAGAGTAGGCAATTAAGAACACATGCAAGCCGGCGCCGTGGCTCAATAGGCTAATCCTCCACCTTGCGGCGCCGGCACACCGGGTTCTAGTCCCGGTTGGGGCGCCGGATTCTGTCCCGGTTGCCCCTCTTCCAGGCCAGCTCTCTGCTATGGCCAGGGAGTGCAGTGGAGGATGGCCCAGGTGCTTGGGCCCTGCACCCCATGGGAGACCAGGAAAAGCACCTGG